CCTGATTAAATCTCCCCATCAAAAATTAAGGTGGCTAAGGGGACCAGATTTGGAGTCTGAGCTGCTTTATTTTGCCATCTATATGCACATATGCATTGGGCTTATATACGCCTATAATATAGCCAGCTATGCCAATGCAAGCTTATACCCTGACAAAATATATGTACAGGCCTCCAGCTCTCCATTCAGATAAGTATGACCGTGCATGTTCACGCATTAATCATGGCCCGTCGACTCCTGGGATGCCCATTGATTACAGGCGACGCCCAGCGACGAGCCACAGGGGAGGTTGGGGTGAACAATGACCGGGTTTGACAAAACCTTTAGCTCCTGAGTAAGCTTGTAAAAAACAGCCTCAAGCTCTTTGTATATCCCAGGAATTTTGGATCTGGCTTTTTCGATACATCGAAGCCCATCGACGAGCGACTTCACCGATCGATGGTGTTTGTCTATGCTAGACTCTCCCCTGCATCATGATATTGCTCTAGCGCTATTAGCGCAATCTAATGGGATTTCATGAGATCAGCCATGAGCTCATCTTTTACTGGCCCTATTAGTGGGCCCCCTATATATGTGTTGCCCACCCTTCGACGGCCCTTCGACACCCAGCGACTCACTGGTACCTGGTTCTGGTTACTGGACAGGTAAGATCAACACCCAGTGAGACCCTTCGGCCTGGTTCTGGGACGTGGTCGTGCAAAAACTGGAAAAACATGATCGATGCTCGTACTAAATTCATATTCCGGGGGGGCGTAGTTTCCCTTGGCCCATTGATGTCCAGCGACACCCCCTCGACGTACCGGAGCTGGTTAATCCCTGTATGTCTGCAAGGGGCGACCCTCTAGAGCTCTTTTTCCACCAATACAAATTTGTTGATCAGTACCCAACCTGGCTTGAAAGGGATGCAAAAAAGGTGCCCCCGGACAAGTCGGACCGATGCTATAAACGCTATGACCGTGGTACTGTCACGGGTTGAATTATATCGTCGACATCGAAATATGTGCATGCACGTATCAAAGGGCAAGCGGAAGGATCTTATCGATTTGTGGATCTGCCATTGTTGGACCCTGGTGATGTCTTGAACTACCTTCACAACAATGTGCTGCAAGCACAAATGAGTGAGGTTCAACGTTATTGGGGATCTTTGCGTGAGAGAGGGCTGGTGTCTAGCTTGGTGACGGACGAGCACATACCTTGCACAATATATGGTGACGAGGTGCAAGTGAACAAACAGGGCGATACTATCTTTGGACTATACGTATCTCTGACCCTGTTCAAACCAAGGAAGGTTCGCACGATGCATTACTGTTTCTTCACACTTCGGAGTCACCTGCTCGATGGGATACATACACTATGGCCAATTCTTCGAAGGGCTGCAACAAGCTTGAATGCTGTATTTGACAAACAAGGGGTCAAGTTTGCAGTTTCAGAGTACAAAGGAGACTGGCCATTCTTAAGAAAACTATTCCGATTCATTTCCAGCTATACCGGAACTAGAACCTTTCACTAAATTTTGGTGCAGTTTTTGTGAATTTTCTTATATGTCAGGGGCCTGTTCAGGGGTTTGCTGAGAATCATTTAAGCATGCATGAGGAGTATGCTTCTTATGTGATGCTACGACTTCTGCTGACCAGTCTCCATTTTGGTGCATGGCTGGTCATGCTCCTGAACATTCCACAGCCACGTGGATTGCTCGCATGCTGGATTTGGTGTGGGCCGTTCCGGATCCATCGATTAATGTTGCATTGTCAAGCCTAGGCCCTTTGATTTTTGCATCAAGGGCTTCTCCCCGGTGCAGATCAAGCCCTGCAGCATGCACGTTTGCAACCTGGGCATAGTGTTCACGATCAATGGCGCAATTCTGTACCTAAGCGCCCTAAAGTGCATGCAGATGAGATTATGTGTACTAGGAGGCCTAGTTTTTATAAAGGTGATGGATATACGATACCGATTTTTGAAATTTGGTATATGGTGCCCAGGATGACCTTGATCCGGGAAGGCTACTTCGGAGGGGACACGCTTGCAGAGCAACTGCGAGTGGCGTTTTCAGACTTCACTGAATGGAGGAGGATGAAAAGGTTCCATGCTCGCAAAGGCGGTTCAAACCGTCACAGGTGGACCGAAGAGCTCATGGTGCCTCTTTGGCTGGGAAAGCTTGGAACTCTCGCATCATATTGCAGTGGCTGCATGAATGTGCGGTCCAAGCGGCCACGACGCGTGACTTCGATGCTGGCGATCGCACTCTGGGGAAGTGGCTGGCGCAGGAAGTTCAGGCAGGTCGCAAGGTCTGGCCAACACCAAGTACTGCTCCTTTCTTGTTTCTTCAGCCATTGGCATCGTACTCTGGCTACAGTATGTGGTTCAGGCTAACCCTCCAAGCCTTGTAGATCAGTCGATGTTTGTGGAAGAATAGCTTCGATGAGTTCGGAATTCGCTAGTCGTGAATTTGTTTTCTCTCCGGATCCAGCTTCGAGTTTTGGTTTTAATTTTTGGCCTCATCAAGATCCAAGGCATGCCATGTGCATCTGGTTTGGATTGTCGGAGCGCGCTGGCCGCTTTTTGATTCCAGGCTTGCAAGTAACGCTGGGAGTGGGATCAACTGCCAAAACCTTCGATGAAGGCAGCATCGATCGAATTTGAAACCAGGCCTAGGCCTAGGAACAGTCAAACCTGCGGACCTGGGAGACTAGACCATGCATCAGCATGTATCACACGTATACAGGTACATGTTAACTGTGGGGTATTGACTGCCAAAAGCATCGCCGCGACACATGAAAAAGGACTCCCAAGCTTGAACATGGCCTATCCCTGTTCTCCACCCGAGGTGAGGGCCGGAGCCAGCCCCAGGAGGTCCCTAGCCGGTGGTGCCAATCCACAACCAAATCCGCCTGTTATACGCGTTAGGGGTTCCCTGACGGATCAGCTGGTTATTGAGACCCCTCTGGCGTAGGGCCAGGCAAGGACCATGTGACCCAGGAACCCTCGTGTCGGCGCTAGACAGTCATGGAGTCATGGCCCGTTAGTGTTCCAGCATCACGCTTGGGTCCGACGCAATAAATTTGTATGGTCCCGCGGAGGATGCTGGACACACACGCCGCACATACATGCACATACACAACTGGCACATGCGTACTTTAAGGGTTGTCCAAAGGTTCACCTGAAGATCACCTGAAGATGCTCAGGACTGAAGCAGAGGCCAGATCGATTCACGATGCTGGGATGGCCTTTTGCCATGTGCATCTGAAGTTGACGCGGCTGGCTCAAAGGCCAGATCAGGGATTCAGGGTTTTCACCTGTTGGATATAAATTGGCAGGCGTGCGTGCATGTTTTTGCATGCTTGTTTGTATGGTCTTGACCTGGTCCCTAGATGGCTTCTGAAGCCAAAGTTGCACATGTTCAAGCACATGCTCAAGCGATGCTTGCGGTGGCGACTCTTGGCAGCCATTCACAGTCACATGTACATGCAGGGTTCCATCCAGACTAGTCTATGCCCTTTACAGGTCCAGGACCTTTTGTGGTCATAGGTCATAGGTCTTTGGACTTGAGATCACTTGGCAATTGTGCAGCCAAGGGCACAACACGCGGCATTGGGCGTGCTTCTCGAAGGAGGACAGGATCGGCGTGCTCAAGCATGTGGCCAGGCACGTTTCGGGCCAGCAGTGCGAGAGCTACCTGATGAAGGTGGCGCGCTTGAGGCTGAAGGTGGCAAAGAAGCGCATGCGGAGGACTGAGGTTTTTAAGACAAGCGCCGGATCCATGCATGAATGTTAAGCGATTCTCAAACATGCTTGAGACAATTTCAACACACGATGTTGGAAGATTTTTGAGACAAGCTCCATGCATGAATGTTGAAAGTTTTTTTGAAGATAACGCATGCATTTACTGATCATTTGGAGTCATATACGCTGCAGGATCGACACGGCGGCGGCATGGAAGCGGTGATCAGAGCACTGCTTAGAAAAAGTGCTCGGAGAACGGGTGAGCAGAGTTAGGCAGTTTAAGTAGTCCATGTCGACATGTACTCGTTAAACCAGTCTCCAGGGTCCGCAGGGTAAGAAATACTTTAATAAACACACCCCAAGCCTCAAGCAAAACTGCAAAATATGAAGAAGGAACAAAATAGCTGGAAGCGACCACCCATTGCTGCAGTCCAGTGAAAAGATCAATAATCACCACATCGGCGCCAATGGAACTGAAACCCCTTGTCTTTTCGCGCACGCTGAGGCGTTGAAGCACGTTGCTGGTTGATGTCCTCGCCTTCTCGTTCTGCTCCTCGTCCTGTTCCTCGTCCTCCTCCTTGTTCTGCTCCTCATCGCGTTCCTTGTCTCCGATTCCTGTATAAACTATATAACACAAAGCTCCCCAGCATGTTGTCCTTTGATTTTTGGCGCGCCCTGCCCCCAGACAAGTCCAAAATAGAAAGATAGTGGAAAGAAAACAAATCAAGAATGATCAAAAAGGAGAAACTAAAAAAGTGAAAACTACTTAAGAAAAGGAATCCAGATTGATTGTTTTGTTTGTTATTCGTTGAGTCTGGATGTGTTTTTATATTGAGTCTGGATTTGTTTCTTGTTTGAGTCTGGATATGTTTATTTCTTGTGTTTTCCTTACAAAAACAAAAAACATAAACACATCCAGACTCATTAAAAAAGGAAAATAAATAACATCAAGACTCAAAGACAACAACAATCGATATCGTGGATTCTTTTCATGTCTTTATTCATGTCTTTTCGTTCTGCTGTTCAGGACCTGTTGGCTTTCGTGTCACGTGTGTGCCATGGCCAAGCACCAGGCCCACATCTCCTCCACCTCTAAAATGTAAAATGTAACAGAGCTCTTCCATCCCAATATTTTGGATGGACGGTCGATCCTACATTTCAAGCAGCTGAATCCAATGAACCCGAACACGGACCTGACAAATCCACCGGTTTGGGCTCATTTGGCGTCTTCTCAGGTGGTGAAACGTTCTCCCGGTTGATTTGGAGCTCGCTGTCCGTGCCTGTGAAGGCTGGCAGTGTCCAGCTGGAGCCAAGAGGGATTTTGAGGGTCACCACCTGGTGTGTGGCACGGTGCTCTTTTCTTCGACGCGCCCTCTGCGGCGCCTTTCCAGGGAGGATGGTCTAAATCGGTGAGATCAACGCCCAACATGCGCAAACACTATATAGCGACGTATAGCAACTATATACACGGAGAACAGATTAATTAATAAACATTAGATCAAATTAGGCACTTAAAGCAGATTCATCAAGAGAATCTGACAAAGAACTCGTATTCAACAGTTTGACATGTCCCCCAATCCAATCCGGGACATCTGGGATGGGCTCTCTCAATCCCTTTCTCCCATGTGCCACGAAAGAAATCTCCTCAGCAAGCCCTACATTCCTTAGAAGAGACCCATAAAATATTGCATCAGACCCGACACCTGAACGTAGGGGGTCACCCAAAGCAAACCACCATGTTTTGTGGGCCAATCGATTTGATAGGGCAAAATGCACAGCATGTCTTCCAAAAGTGGCACCAGTTTGATACCGATCCTTGCCACAAGTTCTTCGCTCTGAAAGGAGTTCACCCGGGCGCACCAGCACATCCGAGCTCTTCTCCGAGGCATAGCTATCGGGTGGCGGCGCGGGTGGCGCATTGAACCCCGGCAGGTGTCCAGCAATGAGGACCACCTGGAAGGAAACCAGGGGAGTGAAAATGGGAATCCCAACAACCTGCCAATAGGACCAAGTACTCTCCCAGTATGGAATGTATGATAGGTATACAGTATATGTTATATAATATGCCCACATTGACACCTGTAGATACTGTGACCATCGTCCAGACTCTGACAAAGGGATTCAGGTTCATGTGGACAGGATACAGTTGAATAAGATGTACTTTGATAATGGTTGGCGAACTGTTCGTTTCCCTATATTGTTGTATATTTAAATATATATATATACACATATATTATATATATGATCAGGAAGACCTGTGTGTCATCCTCAAATACATGGACCACGAACATCCGTGAACATATTAGTGCTTATAGTCTTGTAGCTCGCTTCAACCGCCAAAGTCTGTAATCAACATACAACCACCCCTTCCATCCCTTCCCAAGGTTTGCTAGGTTCGCGATGTTGTTTCCCTTTGGGTGAGCGGGTGCCCCAACAGGGTGGGGTACGAGGGGGAATGAATTCGGAAATTAGTCACCCTCATGCAGGAAAATGGTTGCAAACATCCAGGAACAGGTCGTGATGTGTGAAGCAACCCCGTGTAGGTCTCTTCCATCTCTTTCGTTCCCGCTCTGCACCTCGGGCCCGCTGGTGTCCTTCAGCGATGGCAAGTCTTCGGCCCAAAACATTTTGAAGCTGGGCTCCACCATCTTGCTCCTGGACAGCGCTGAAGCCAGATTCTTGTGCTGGCACACTGGTACAAGAGTAGTACTGCATTTGAAGCATTACAACACATCAACTGGAAACGTTTCAACTTCATCCCTTCCTCTTGGGCAGGTTGATCCAGATCTGGAAAAGCTCCAAAACATTTTCTCCCTCACGGTTCAGCAGCGGAAACATCTCTGAGTGGTTGATGCCCTTCCCTGCAGTCATCCATTGCGCATCCCCACATCCGAAGCGACCAGCGTTCCCCAGGGAGTCGGTGTGATCCACCCACCCACGCCGTGTCACGGTGATGGTCTCGAAGCCACGATGTGGGTGCCGGGGGAACCCGGGGATGCTTTTGCCGTGGTACCTCGGCTCAGAAGAGGGGGTTCATCAGCAACCAGCACGGGACAGGCATCACTCTAAGTCGGGCATGGAGCTGGGCCAAGTTCGCTGGCATGATTGGATGTGCATGGAGCAGCGACGTCAGATCAGACCCCATACAACTGTGTCATTGCTGAGTGCTACTCGGCTGAGCTAAAGTTCGTCAGAAAGATGCGCAACAGGCAGCATCGCTTGCGCAGGTTTACAAATGTGTAATTCGAGTTATGTTTTGTCACCGACAAGGATCAATATCGCATATTCAATCATATGCATATTGTATGCAAAAAGGTGTCCCTTTTCGCAGTGAGATCAAAACATGTATGCCGTTGATAGATAGCTGTAATAAATTAAGCTTGAAGCTTGAAAGCTGAAAAGCAGCAACATGTATAGATATATATATATTATATAATAATATACCAAAGAATATCCAAACAATAGAGATTGGTCAGGAGCAACCTCAACTCAATTGTGATTGCGGTCAGGCCTTCTACACATGGGGCATAGTCAAGTCTCTGAAGCAGCCACTTGTACAATCTACGCCCAAACTAACTCAGCCTAGCAGCTTCACCGCAGTAGGGACAGGTGTCTTGCAGTCAGGAAGTCGACTTCTTGCTGACTGAGGAGGGGCTTTGTTTGCCCCCAACCCAGGGAGCAGCTTCATGGGAAGCGCTACATCCCCGGGGACACAACACGGCACACACTTCACAGCTGTACCAACACGGCACACGAAGAGACCTCCCAGGCAGGGGGATCAATCGAAATGATCTTGGTTGACCATCCCAAAAGCTTCGGTTCACGCACACGACAGTGTCAGCAGAGGGCCATTTTCTCTGTGGGGCAAAACTCCCTTCAACCCCAGAGGTTCCCGGCACCATGAGGGAACTCTTGTTGAGCCCAATTCCGCTGGCTTATGGGACCCCATGTTGCATCATGTCCGACAGCACTCACTGGGCCACCGACGGCCACGTGGGCCATGGTCTGGAACCCATGGACCCGACCCCTGTCCCCGCAACAGATCGCCTCCATCCTCTTCCCATGAAGTGAAGAAAAGAAAACATCCACCCCCCCAAAACAATAAGGGTTAAAGACAACTCCTTGGATGAAGAAAGCGACGGGTTTCTCCACAACTCTTCCTGGTTTCTCTTTCGATTGGGTGGATACCATCGTCGACCGCATCGCTGACAGACCAGGCGAGGCGACAGCTATTTGGATGATTTGGTCACTGGACGACGGTTATCGCTGACTGGGCGGACGGCGCGTCCTGTGGTCCCACGGCGTAGCAGTGCACTGGACGATATTTAAAGATTGTTCAAGGAATGGCGAATCATTTGAATAGATCTCCCTCGTTCAATCCCCCTCGTGAAAAATATATAGAACTAATTAAAAATATGTCAATCCCAAATTTGGCCAGTACTGCAGTCTCAGGGGTGCGAATCTGAATCTCTTTCTTCGTCCTTCAAATCCAATCCCATCGACTGTCTAAAAAAAAAACACATCAAACATGAGTGTTCTATGCGCAAGGAGCACCCGCTACCTTCCAAACATACCAAAAAGACAAGAGCCCTAAGCCCCCACCGATGTCCTGAGCCGCCACCTGTCCCGTTGATGTGGAGATTTCTATGCCCAGTCACATGCTCCAGCCGCTAGGATGATTGAAGTCCGCCCCCATGTTGTGCCCTCGCAAAGAGGCCTCCGGGCCCATCTCCGCGTTGCCTGCAGGGTAGTGGTCCAGGTGGTAGACAGCGAAGAGAAAGGGCGATTCCTCGAGACGTCAAGGTTACACTTTGCGTCTTGGCCTTGACGTGGGTCCAACCCTCGCTTCCAATAGACACCCATCAAAGGTACCCCCAAGAATGACCACATGTGTGCACAGTGCTGATAGAAAAAAGGACTGGAAAAGAGATGGCAACGCTATGCAAGGCTGTAAGGGTGGTGCTCCCTCAGATAGGCACTGAACTTTGTGGGTTCAGAATATATCGACAGGTCGCCCATGACCCGAACCCATGTAGACAAGGCTCACACTCAAAGGGAAATCGCATGGGTTCCGCCTGGCAAGGGCAAGGGCCATGTCCGATGGATGGAAGGCCAATTTCGCTGAAACACGATGGACATTGATACAGCAAATCCCAGACACTCCATGGGACTGCCATAGGACTGCCAATCCATTGACCCCCAGTCAACCACCCCAACGGCCGTTTGGCAGTCCAGCAGTCCGAGACGGCTCGTGTCTGGGAATGATCCACCTATGTAATGGACCGAAGCATCTGACACCGAGGGCCAGGATGTCGTCTTGGAACCACGGGCGGATCCACTTGGATGGGGAACTTCGGGGCATTTGGGAGCTGAACATCTGGAGATGAGATCTTCACCGCAATGGCCAGGATTGATGAACTCCCATTTTATGGGGGAATCCAGCTGCGAAACCTGAAGACGAGCTGCAACCAGCTTGCTGGCTAGCTTCATCCAAGTGCCCAATTTTGCGCCAAAAGTTGTGGTCTTGACACACCCCTGCACTCACATTGATTTGCACTGAGCTCTGATCTTCTGGACATTTGGGGGTTCAACGACTTTGTCTGATTTCTTTGGTCTTGAGCATTTGATCCAACCCCAACCCTCGGTTGGTTTGGAGGTTCCCTCATTCCACCCCAAAATTCTGAACTGGAACTACGGACGTAATCCCACAGCAACCCAATGAGGGTCAGGTCCGGAGCTAGAAAACGAGACTCCTTATGGTGAGGGTGAAGAACTCCTAGACCTGATGTCCGAGCCATCCTTTCGTCACCCAAAAGCTGTCCTAGTGGAGCCTTCACGGCGGGCAAACATCGGGTGATCTTCCCGACGGCCCCCGACATGGTTTTGGGGGTGTCCGACATGGAAAACCCGACCGAGCCAAGCGACTGGCAGTCCATGGCGACCCAGTAAACAGTCGAGCTAAAACATGCAGGAAACTGAAGAAGCCAAGCAGTTACGAGCAAATCAACCAACCCATACCATCGGACTGCAACGGCTCCATGACATGGATGGGTCAGGGAGATAGATGGGTCAGGGTGTTGAACCATAGGCTGAACTTGCAAATATCACACCCAAATTGTTGACAAAAGCCTCAAGTTTCAGAGGTCAGTTCGAGACTAGGTAACTCCACTGGTCATGGACTTGGACGACAAGGGAGGCCAACCATTGCAGTAACGGTATAGTTGAAGAAACCAATTCGGCACCCAGCTTAAAATATCTTTCAACCAATACAGAAGCCGACCTGTGCAGCCTTGGTATTTGCCAGAAGGAGATCCTTGGAGGGTCCGTTGGTTTGACAGCCAAACCTTGAATCGCTTGCCCGTGCGAGGCTCTTGCACTGCGGCCCATAAGAGGCGGATTTGCACATGTCTACAAACTATAGAAAGTCAATGAAATTCCATTCGCAGTCCAACGAGCTGAAACCTTGTCCAGTTGTGGTGCTAGCTATTGGAGGCTGGGGACTCCATTCCTGCTCTACGCCTTCCGCAAGGGTCGCGACCCACCCATCGTCACGATGGGCTGCGGGTGGACCTGTCGGTCTCCCCCCACCCCAGTGCATCCCAGGTTAAACCACGTCTATAAGGAACCGCAGGTATTCGTTCGGTCTATGGTGTTAGTCGAACTGGAACCACTGGTTACCAGCTATAGTGGTAACTAGGATGCCCTGGGCCTGTGTTCTCCACCCACCCGTTCTCTCTCGCCTTGATGATCGACCCCTTGCATGTGGCAGGCTCCCCACGGCAGGCGGCAAACATGGCGATCGAGCGTAGTGCACGCCGCACGACGCTCGGTACAGGGGGAAGAAGGACGCTGGACCCCCGCAGTGCGGGCATCTGTGAGCCAGGTCCAAGAGCTTGTCGACAGCAGTGCAGGAACGTTCGAAAGTATGTGAAAGTATGTGAAAGCCAACAGCTTTACCATGGGCTCACAAAAACAAGTTGCTCCATCTTTTCACCAAGCTCCATCTTCCCCGACAGTGGTCCTCCTGAAACAATTTTGCCGGTAGGAGGAAACGCTCACCTTCCAGTCGATCGCCTTCGCGTTCCATGTTACCCTTGACTGTTTGTCGTTGTGGAGACAGATTGCAGGTTGACCACCGAACATGGTCAGGGCACGAATCGAATCAGCGCGTGTCGACATCATCTGGGACTTCCAGATCGCTCGTTCTTGGGTGAGGTCGATGGTCCAAGCTTCGGAGGTTGGTCGATGGTCCAAGCTTATGAGGTTGCCAAGCTTCCAAAACCCCCGGGGTCGGTCTGTGTGCATCGAGTCACGTCCAGCCCAGGCCAGGCTGCCCTTCGAGGCGCTGACCCGAAGCCAGCGGCCGAAACCGTGAACCGTGACGGTCCAGACGTGAGAAGGGGTGTCTGTTTAACAGCCTCTGAAAGCTTCAGTGTCCCGGTTCACTTGGGGATTCCTCACCGAAAGCTTGCGCCTTCACACCAAGTCCCCACCACCACCTGAACCCGGGGCACCGGTGCACTTTTCCGCCCGGACGCGACACTCCGCGCGCGGTTCGGCGGCATCGGAGACGCCGGACACGTTCGGTCGTGGCATCGGAGAAGACATGCGAAGGGCCAACGAGGGCGAACACATGCGGAAGAACAAGCTCTACTTCTCCTCCAAATGGAAGGTCGGTATACAACATCCTTAGCAAAAATAGAGCATGGAATCCTTGGACGATGTCCACGTGCTTCTTTGCATTCATGCCATGTGCGGAGTCATTCTTCGCATTGAGCGTTCGCAGGGCGCAGGGCACATTGTTCGGCAACAAACGGTTGGCCGAGTGACGAAATGGATGACTCGCTTAGCTGAGAGAGGTGAAACATTTATTTGACCTTCAGAAAGCAATCACCTCTCTCGCGACGTCTAGTATTGTCTATGTACACAGCTATCACATGCTATCACTTGGTAAAGACCTCACTGTCAACATCTGTCAGCACGGCGCGTGACGCTACAACAACTGTCCCTTCTGTCGCTTCCCTTGGCGCATCCAGTTGATCGATGTGTTCCTTCAGATTCGTCCCAGAAACCCAATGAAGTCATTCATGAAAGCTGCAGATCTTTCGGCAACATCAGAGTCAAGTGCTAAGACCCCAACCAACCTTAGCCCATGGCTATCCTCCTGAAAGGCTCCTGCAAGAGGTGCTGCAGTTCTGGACGTCCGCGGGGGGAAGAGGGAACCTTCCGTTTCTGTCCCAAGAATCCGGGGCCGTTTGGTTTTGGGTGCATAACACCCCGTCCCGGATCAGAGGGCGCCCAATCTCCAAAAAAAAAAAGGTGGCAAACATCGAGATCGGGATCATGTTGTATCTCTTAGCTGTTGCTGGTCCTCCACTTCCATCTTGCTGTTGCAGCTCAACACACATGTGCGCACCCACGTGCACATCTGCCACCCCCCCGTCGTCTCCGACTCTCCCACGGCCCGGTCTCCCAAGGAGGGCCGTCGAGGGTCGTCGGTGACCTGGAGCACAAGCGTTGGTGGTGGTATGTTATGCTGGTCATGTTGGTCATGTTGATGGTCATGTTGGTGTGTTGCCAAGATGACCACTAACATACTAATACCATACTACGTATGTGTTTGAAGTGTTGCCAAGATGACCACTAACATACTAATACCATCCTACGTATGTGTTTGAAGTGTTGCCAAGATGACTGGATGGATCTGGATGGCTTCTGGAGATGACTGGTGCTTTTGGAAGTACTGCCAAGATGACTCAAGATGACTGGATGGCTCCTTCAAAATGACTAGATATCATGCATCTTTGCAGGCAGGCTTTGGAACATGAGTCAGATTCCTACCACGCAGGTACGGGCCAACCTCATGTGGCTCTCGCCGCAAATGCCAATCACGCGGGCTGCTCTCCCTCTGGGGTCTGCCGTTTACGATCACAGAGCCACAGCCAAACTACTAACCGTATACTAGAATAAGACAACCTACTACTATATATATACGTAAATTGTTGAAGAACAAAAGGACACAGTCATATATATCCAACACAATCAAACTCCATAATCCTCCAATGGTTCCAAACAAGAGAAAGACATGTCGACATAGTCTCCTCCCAATCACTGTTCTTAAATCACCTGCTGTTTACCTGCTTCCTACCTCAGCCAGAGTTCTTCGAACATTCCCGTTCCACCATGCTTGCACCTCCAGCCTCAGCTGATCCGTCGACATCCAACTCTTCAAGGTCTCGGGATTCGTGCTTGCTTCGTCCGGTCGTCGGATGTGTGGCACGGGGACTGGTGCCAGTCGAGCCCCGGGCGCAGCACTTGGTGGGCCAGCCAGGCAAACCCTGGAGGGAGTCCGTCATCAATGAGTGTCCCGTTTTGGGGAGTCGCCCGTGTCACGATGAGGGAAAATCGAGAAGGAAGAAGTAAGCCTTCTCGCATGGTTTCGGTCTCTTCTCCATGGGATCTAGTTTGCAGTTCGCTCTCCACACGCGACAAAGGCCCTGGGACGAGTGTTTCGGGGCAACTTGTTTGCACCTGGTTCCTCGGGGGCCAAGTTGCACACGGGCGTCCCAGTTGCTCTCGGTCGGTCGAATGAAACAGAGAGACAGAGTGGTGTCAGATCTGTCAATTTTGGACATCTAGCAGTTACTGAGCAGCGTGGGATCTCTGGCCAGACTTGCTGAAAGAACTGTTTTCCCTGGAAGTTTGTGTCATGTGTGGTATCGCAAAAACCGCAGGTCCCGCGCCCAGCCATGGACCTGCAGACGATCCCGGTCTGCCCGTGACAATGGACCCCTGGGACAGACTAATTCTCATCTACCACCCAGTGGTTTTCAGAAGAACTTCAGAATATTTAGACATTTTCAGAAGAACTTCAGACGTTCTTCAGGACAACTTCCTGAATCATCAAGGGGCAGTCAGCTACAGCCTGGTTGCCTGGCCTACCACACCAGCCTGGCCCTCTGCGTCACTGAGCGCTCACACCTGGCCCGTCGCCTTCTCCACTGCCCAGGCCTGGCAAGCCAAGTCAAGAAGTGGAAGAGGAACTGATGCCATTCGGATGGTAAGATTGAGTATTGCAGGACCAAATGGTGTTGTATCAAATATGTTCAAGAAGTGGTGCCATTCTTTGTGAGAAAACAACTAAAACGTGAATCCAACCATCCAACACCAGATGGAGATGCTTTATCTTGGGCCTTTGGGGGTTCAAACCCTCCGTGTTCGAATCAGCCTCTTAGCGCCGAAGCCCTCGGATCGATCGGCCTGGTCCAGCAGCATTGCGCATTCGATCGGCCCCGATCTTCGGAAGGGATCCGGTCGGTCCGCCGAGAAATTCGATGCACCAGTTCGTCGCAGAGGTTTGAACAAAACACACTTAAGTATATATGTAGATGACATGTGTATGACTTGTGTTTCATCTTACATCCCAGAGTGAGTGGAATTGGCAGATCAAAGATATAACCTCACTCACGACCGGTCCAACGGTCGACCATGGTCACTCCGCGGCTCCGCTCACGCTGCCGTCGAGGCCCCAAGCACCCTCTGGAGGTGAGGCCCCAAGCTTAAGACCACTCTGGCTCCAGACAGTCTGGTATACCCCGATGTCTAGACTACTACTCCCTCCAATACTGGCTCTGCTTGCTTAGAGTCTCGGCCTGTTGGTTCATTGCCGACCGGCTTAGTTGAGGGGGAGTCTACCATCCATGGGCTCTTCGTGGCTCTTTGACCCACCTCTTTGACCTTCGGCCTGCCAGGGGTCCGGACGTCCCACTCGGCAGTCGGACGGAGAAACCCCGGGTCCCCAGCCGGCAGCTCCACCAGTCGGTCGTCCAGCGCGCCGTTGGGCGAGGTCATGTCCGGCACCTGGCGCGGTCGGCGGAGGGGGTGAGGTCCGCAGCACTGGGGTGGAGGGAACATGAGCCTCGGAGCAAGGGGTGAGATAGCACAGATGCACAGACAGCACGTATATTTTTAGATAGTATATTGATGTAAATAGAAATGCAAATAAAAAATCGTATATTTATTTCAAGTTATAAATAAATGAAAATAATGAAGCAAAATGAAAGATTTAAATATTACAGTATCCATCCGAAAATACCCCTTACCTAGATTAGGAACATTTAAGAACCAGGTGATATGAGTCCTTCATCTACTAGGACAAATGTGCTCTTCCCTGCAACTAAATCAATGTGCTTGGCCAGAAGCTGACCAGAAAAGGATGATGAAGAGTAGCCCCTTTCCAAGTTCGAACCCTGCATTTCGATAATTCAGGGTCCAAGGATTCTACCAGGTTGACCTTGACAGGCAGTTGACCTTGGACCCTACAGTAAGAGGTGGTTTTACCTGGAAACACCGCTTCGACCCGCCGCGTCCGAAACCAGTCCTGCTACCGACCCGGGAGCGCGAACGTGCACCTTGGACTGACCTGGCACCGTGTTCATCACGATCAAGGCCTTGTACCCTGCGTTATAGGCGTTCTGCGCCTCTCACGAGCGAGAGAGAACGTAGGAAGTGAGATGAGAACAAGCGCGTCATCGGTTTGGTGAGATCGGAGCATCTGAAAGAACGAGCGGCCTGTGGCTTTGTTTTTTTTGCTTTTGTTCTGGGTGTCTTAACTCAAGGGTAGCTGCTACGTGTGCATGGCTTGCAAGGAAGGTTTGCATGGCTCCAAAGGAAGGAGGGTTTAGAGCTCGAAAAACGTGGCGACAGTCACAAGATGATTGCCGCCAGGCCCGAGGAATTCCACATGATGTCGAATATGGAAGTAGAAGTCAAAAGAAGGAAGAGACAGGAAACAGCTGAAGTCTTTTCAAGCAAATGGAACTGGAGATGGCTCAACCTTCCATATTTGCTGGGATTCCAATTCCCTGTTGCGCTTCATTTCGTTGAAGATCCAGCCGGCTAGATGATGTCCCACAGCCCATTGCAACAGCCGGTTTCCCCAGAGCAGCCTCTACAAGTTGCTGAATAAATACCTATATAGGTCCCCCAGCAGACAGGCTGTCATCAATTCAGTACCAGGGCCTTCAAGGGATGGTTAATGGACACCCCTTAAGACACCCCTTGGAGGGTCCTGGTACTATTCAGTATTCACAAACATTCCAGAAATGTCACCATTGTCCTTTCATGTTCCTTAAGTTCTTGACATGTTTCAGTGTCCCTTAATGTAGACTGCTGACTAATAAAACCCCGCCCATTATAAA